TTATGTCATCATCATTCCTGATGATGACTAATTAATGTCGAAATATTGAATCCCAACACGATGGCGTGTATTTCAATACTTGGAGTATGTATTATACTTCCAAATCTTTTCTAATAAGGGCTTAACAGGAGGTGCAGTGTATACATCTGGCTCATGTGCACTTTAAAGAACTCATTGCGTCTTTCGGAAGAGTAGGGGGTTTCCCTGATTCTCTGGTTCATTTCAGCCCCCTGTCGTTTTGGAATGCACCTCTGTACAGCAGATACGGTAGTCGAGGACCACGGCCATACACAATTCAGCACAATGACGCTGCGAGTTATGGGTTATTTACCAGGTTGAAAGCCAAAGTTTCATTAGAAAGAATGACTTGTGAGACAAATTGACCTTCCATGTCTATCCACCCAACAATTTTTTCTTAGCCTTTATCAAATTTTAGAAAATGGTTGGGAGAAATGAGTAACAACTACAAATGGGAAAAATGTACATACACAGTTGCTCCTTTAATGTCTGTGTGAGTGGTGTTCAGCGCTTTTGAAGCTTAGCATTGTCGTGCTATATTTATAACTTATTGCTATTATTGACCCCTTTGTAAAGCTACATTTTCATTAGACCCAATAACGACACGACAACCACACGATAAAAATGTGCTTAGTGTTGAAGAATATAAACAACGCAATCATGTGTGTTGTGTCATTATTGTGTCTAGTGTAAATGTAGCTTTAAGCATTAACGTTCTGTACTCTTCTGAAAATGATGGGGAAAATGGCAAAAGTTGGTCAATCGAATCTATTATGCAGCTGTTTTTTTTTTTGGTAGTTAACAGGACAGCCAGTGTTGATTGGAGGAACAATGGGTACTTGCAGCTATGTATTGACAGGAACTTACAAAGGCATGCAAGAAACCTTCGGCACAACATGTCATGGAGCAGTAAGTCTTTGTGATATTTAATTTTTCTATCCAACAGTGCATGAACAATGCTGTAGCCAGGATTTTCAAACAGTGTAGGACCCAATTCAAGAGTGGACCCAATTTGAACTAATTTTTAACACGTTTTTTGACTGTTGTATACCCAGTTTTTAAACTGTAGATTATTGGCAGTAGTGACAGGAAATGGGAGGAAGACGGGGAGGCCAAGCATCCCCCTTCTCTGAAATGACACTCCTTATAAAATTATTTTTCTTGTTCTTTAATAATTTTTTTAATTTGCCATAGTTAAGTGTTAAAACCTCTCAGAACTGTGATTGGCTGGAATGTAAAAAATATGAATCTTCTTCACCCCAGTCCATCATGTTTGGGAATGAGGTTTAAAAAAATTAAAGATTTGCAAACTTTGGATGGCTGGAAATGGCACTCTCAGACTTAAAAATATCAGTTAATTTGTTGCAAAAACATAGAGATGTCTAGGGTTGAGCATCAGAAAAGTCCCCATCCACCTCAGCCCCAACTTGGGCTGAGGCAAAAAAAAAATTATGATGTGGCAAATCAAAATGTCTAGAAATTTCTTTCTCACATACTTTAAATATTTCTGTTTATGAAAAACTTTTATCAGAGGGGAGGCAATTACTAGGAGAGTTTACATTCACTTCAGCCCCACCATGGTTGACAGAATGGAATACTCCATAAAGGTCTGTTCAGATAAAATTAGTCTCAATTTAAGGGGTAGGAAGGAAAGTTGTAATTATGTGAACAGAATGTTGGCTCACATGATTTGAACCCAGTACCATAAAATTGTAGGGTGAGCACCTCTATTACCAAGCAATAGCTCCATTCAGTTAAAACGTCAGTTACTAAAGCTTGAAAAGTACTTATTAAAAATTTCCAAGCCAAGACAGAAGAAAGAAGAGTTTTGATTGGCTAAACTGTCAATGCACTGTGGGTAACTTGGTAATTATGGCATATGATGTACTATAATATAATATGTTAGTTTTTGGGTTGATTACTGTGTGTTTGGTAATCAGGTTGTATAATATGATACAAAGCATTCCATTTGCATTATGGGATACTTGTCGCATTACTCAATTTCAGATATGTCATTTGTCATGTGATAAAGGTGTGGTACATATTCTGATAACAAGTTCTCCTCTCGGGCGTGAAACCTTCATCCTGTCGCATTCTATTCCAACAAATACCATTTTCGTACTTCATCAAACTAGTTGAAAAGGTTGTTCAGCTAGTGAATGAGTTTCAGTTTAGGGTAACATTGTAAAGCATTGTGATTGGTTAACATGTGTAACAAAGCAGACTGTACATAATAACATTTTGTATTCCAAAATTGTTGGAAATCCCAGACAATGTAAAAGTGTGTGGGAAGAAGAAAAGGCTGTCATTTTCTGGTTCAGATTTGTACAAATTTCAAACATATTTCTTTTTTTCCAAATAAATCTCCATACACAAGCAAAGTGGCTGCCATTTTACTGTTGTAAAGCAACCTCAGATTTTGAAATGAATAAACACAATTATCATATTGCAGCAAATGAGTTTTAAAGATATATTTTAAATGCTCAATATTTTTTAATTTCATTGCTAAGGATATTTTTCAAAAATGTGCTACCATGTTTATGTTCATTATCTGTGATGCATTTGGTGTTAATGTATGATTAGATCTAATTTTACATGTCAAATTGTTGTGTTTGCCATTAATTAATGATCTGTAAGTTGAATTTTATCTAAGTAAAACAATTTTTCAATGCCATTTTGGATTTGACTTGGCAAGTTCAACTGTAGGGTGATAGTCAGTTCATGATCTCAGATGCAAGCATTTTTTTTTTTTATTCTAAACCATAAATAATCATGAGTTATTAATACATACAGCAGTAAAACTCACTTCATAGATTTTGGTAAAACTATAAATATATTTGGATTTTTTAAATAATGATATAAATATATTTTTATGTTAAAATACTGTAAAATTACTGTCTTTGACTCAGCTACCATTTGTGCAGCTTAAGTTTACAATATTCCTTTTCAGGAAACAGTTCACTTTTTGCCATCATAGAATAGCCGAATCTTGTAGGAAGGTCATAGGTCAAACATGTACAGTACGTTCTGTTGGTAGCCTGGCTAGACTGTGAATTGCCAGGCATAAACTTGTGTTGGTTCATACAGAATTCACACAGCACAGATTATGATCGTCATGCATGTAACATTCGCAATTTGTTTTACCGTCTGTATTCTCAGCGAAGAATCGCTTAATTCACTGAATGGTCAGATTATATTTTGTTCCTCAACAATTTTTGAAAATATAAATTGACGCATCAACGTGTCGCACAGCAGTGTAGTTGCATTCAATGTGGATTGCAATAAGGAATTTCGTACGTTCCTTTGTTTTTTTTAACCTCTTTCATGTACTGGTCGTCAAAATCTGTAGGTCAGTCTTCATACTGTACAGTATATCAAATTCATTGGTTAGTAATTCAATACCATAATCATTGTGCTAAAAATTTGAAATTATTACTCAAGATGTTTTTAATTTTTCCTTGTTAGGGACGTGCATTATCGCGGGCCAAGTCCCGAAGGAATATTGACTATCAACAGGTTCTTGACAAGCTCTCTGGGCAGGGAATTTCAATCAGAGTTGCATCACCGAAGTTGGTCATGGAGGAGGTAAATTCATCAAGAATTCCATTTTATTAACTTTCCATACACTTGCTTTGTCCCTGCATTACACTTTCTTTCCTGCCAGGGGCATATTTTGAGGAGGGGTGTACTTTACCCTCCCCACTCTATAAAATTTTATCAACATGTATGGGTTTTTTTTTTACGACTTAAGTAGTTGGCTTAAATTTAAACTTTTTAAGACCTCTCTCAATAACAACACACGTCATGAAGGGACCCTGGTCTACACTTGCTATACACCTATTATTGTTACTTCCTACTTGCTCTACACTAGCCCCCCCTGTCGGGGACTTTAGCCCCTCCGTCGGGCAGGTCCTGGCGCCACCACTGCGAAGGGCTAATGTAGCGGTCCTCAAAATTTCATCAAGTATGGTTTTTGTTTTTTATGACTGAAGTAATACTAAGGTAAGTTGGCCTAAATTTAAACTTTTAAGGTCTATGAAGAGACCCTCTGGTGTACATTTGCTATACACTTGCTTATTGCTGTTTCTTGTTTGCTTTAAATATCCCTGTTCTACTTTTGATGTACACTGGCAGTCTACACTTACTCTACCCCAACTCTTCCCCAGGTCTTCCCCAGGTCTACAATTTTACCCCAACTTTATCACAGCTTTGCACCAATTGTACTATTTTATCATGTCTATAATAATGATGATGACAGTGCCATTGTCTAAGGCATTAACAGACAATAATGATGATAATGATGACAATATAATGGTGATGACAATAAATATAATGAATAGGAATGATAATGATACAATATTACAATATTGCTTTAATTTTATTTACACAACTTGGTGTAAATACAATTGATAATGATGATAATGATAGTGATAATGATGATATTAATAGTGATAACGATGATAGTAATGATGATAATTATAAAGATAATGATAAAGATGAGGATGAGTTAATAACCTTTTGAGTAAACAAACAGTAGAATGAGATGCTATAGTGGTTGACATACCCATAAATTTGTTTGTAATGATTTCATAGTATAAATATATGTCAGTAAAATTCTG